CGTACATCTGTTTGTCTATATGCGTTTTGGTCAGCGACCGACAACTCAAGACTATGACCTCAATGCCACTATCTCTCATGACGAAAAGTGTGTTTGGATGCTAAGTGAACATGACAAAAGCGAAGGGCAAACAGTCTGCTCCTTGAATCCAAATGCGACGATAAAGGTTCTGGCTGAGCGTCCTGGTAAATACTTTCTTGGCTTAAAAAATTTCAATGCCACAGTGAACTTATCTCACAAAAGGGAGAAAAGATCTTGTCTTGGTGGAAGGCGAAGGAAGCGCTCCTGCGTCGAAGTGAAAGATCCACCACCCACCCCACCCCAGAATGAAAATGTCCCTGTGATGCCAGTTTATGATTCCACAACAGACCAGAACTACACTCTGAAGGTGACCTTGGGTAGTTGTGTTTACTGGTCAGAAAAAATTGACAAGTGGATATCATCTGGTTGTCGAGTAAGTGAGAAATTAAATAACGATTTTCAGCGCAATCTTTTTTATCTAATTTGGCATTGTATTCAACACAGTTCAGATAATTTGAGCTTTCCTGAGTAATGTTTGCAAAAGTGCTGTGGTATTATAATAATCTTCACCCATTAGTCTTATCATTGAATTCAGGCTAATGTTGATTAGAGAAAATTTTCAGACAAAATTTGAATCGATTTGATAGCCAGCCGGGGCATGGAAGCGCCTTAAAAAAAAGATACAGAGTGATTAATGGTGACAGCCATAACGATAATTTTTATCATTAACATCGTCCTTAATTTTATAATTTCAGGTTTTATCAGAATTAGATGGATTTTTAAACTGTAGCTGTAGCCACTTGACATCATTTGGGGGAAGTCTTTTAGTTGAACCGAATCCCATTGACTTCGACAAAGTTTTAGTCGAGTTCCAGCAGTTATCAGAAACTGGAAACATCGCAGTAATTGTGGTTATTGCGGTGATTTTATTGTGCTATGTGACTGTGCTTGTTATCGTGAGGAAATTCGACGAGGAAGACGCGAAAAATGTAAGTGTCGAGCCAGATTTTGCTTAGGACCGTTGTTTTAACGGAGCATGCTCTCCAGTATAACCCTTTCACTCCCATGATCTACTTGTTAATTCTACCTCCGGTTGCTATACATTTTTTGTAAATAAGTCATGACAATTTGCTAATAGATCATGATGACAAATTCTACCTGATAATTTTGAGTATTCTCATGACCTGTTGCCTATATAATGTACGGATATTTTTGGGAGAAGTCGCATGTTGATCACCTCTGGGAGTTGAAGGGTTAAGAAAAAAAAGGGTTTTAATGTTGACAACATTATTCGCTTTAAAGGTTTGTTGATATTGAAATTGCGAAGTTCAAAAATGAAGTGACCGTCCTTTTTTTTTTTTTTTTGGACTGGGAGAAATAGAGCGAATTAAGAATATAAATCAGCTAGCCATGTAATTCATGCTTTATCGTGTATTTTTTAGAGGGAATTACCGATCCAACTTTCATCATCTTCAAGCAGCACCTATGAATATTTCATAGTGATTACTACAGGGGCTTGGAAAAACTCGGGCACGACTGCTCATGTTGCTTTGGAGATTTACGGTTCTGATGGAAAGAGTGGCATTCTCCACCTTAGCCAAGAAGAGCCTGATGCAGTTAATACGTTATTCTCTCGAGGTAATTCAGATGATTTTGTACTTTATGTTGACAAATCACTTGGTGCGATTCAAGGGGTGCAGATTGGACATGATAATTTTGGAGATAATCCTTCGTGGTACCTCGAAGAAATTCTGATTCGGGACGTACAATCCAAGCAGTCGTGGAAATTCATGGCCAATCAGTGGTTTGCTCTTGAGCGCGGAGATGGACGCATCGAGCGAGTAATCGACCAGAACTCAAATCCTCCGGATTTTGGCGATGAAGTTGCAAGACGTTGGCGAAGAGGGCTCGCGGAGTGGCATATTTGGGTTTCAGTAGCAACCAAGCTAAGAAAAAGTCGCTTTACAAGAGTACAGCGGTTGTCTTGCTGCCTCTCTGTGCTTTTGACATCCATGTTTGCTAACGCGATGTTCTATAAGTTAGAAGGCAAATATGAACATCCTATCCAAGTCGGACCGCTGAAAATGTCGTGGAGACAAGTGGTGACTGGAATTAAAAGCGCGCTTGTTGTGACACCCATAAACATTGTCATAGTTTCTCTGTTTCAAAAAGGCGCTGAAAAGTCTGCCACGAACAATGACTATTGTCTTAAAGGTACCCTGATTTTTGGTGTTGCTTGGTGTTTGTTATTTTTCTCTTGTATTGTTTCGGCTGCGTTTTCAATTTTCTACAGTCTCATTTGGGAAAAGAGTGTCAGTGAGCAGTGGCTGTCTTCAATGCTCATCTCATTCGCGCAGGATGTGACAATCAAGGAACCAGTCAAGGTATTCTTCACAGCTTTAACATTCGCGGCCATTTTAAAGATAAAGGCGAAG